AACAAAAATGAAAAGTCCTGGGATATAGCTCAGGGGTAGAGCATCTCTCAGTTCAATCCCTGGTGCTACCAACAAAAACCAAAAAACTACCAATAAATATGTGCAATTATATATTAATAAAGACTTTATAACAGAAAAAAAGCAAAGAGTCTAAGCAGTTTCCAGGGATCTCATATGTAAACAACTTTAAAATTGCTAACTTTACTAACCTAGTTTTTTTTCAGAATTAATTATTTAATATTACGCTTTATGTGTAGCAGAGTATCTCTTCCCTGCAATGCTTGTGACAAGAAGCATTTCAGACTTGGGAGTATTTACATATATACAATGAGATATTTTGGAGATAACACCCAAGACTACATATAAAATTTATTTGTGTTTCATACACATGTTTTAAAGATAGCCTACAGGTAATTTTATACACTATTTTGAGTACTCTGGGGTTTTGTCTGTTACCTGTCATGTGAGTTCAGGTATGAAATTTTCTACTTGTGGCATCATGTTGGCTTTTGAGAAGTTTCAGATTTTTTTTAACATTTTGGGATTCAAATGTTCAAATTAGGTATGTTCAACCTGTATTATCATTGGTTTGTGTTTTGTTTTGTTTCATGCCAGAAAAAAAAAAATAAGAAAGTACAAAGTACAAAGAAAGTACTTTTACACAATTCTACAAATTTAATGTGTTTAGATTTACATAAGAAATTTGGGACACTGTCATTTGGTAAGGCTACTTTGTCAATAACTGATTCACTGATTAGTATTTTGGAACACAAGACAAATTTCTGAAATACATCCAGGATAGTAATATTTATTATCTTCAGAGATACTTACATTGGTGATATGTCATAATACAATATGTAAATATCCCAGACAATATTGTTTATTAAATCATCTACCAGTTAAAAAGGCTTAAAAACCAATGAATACAATATACTCTGATCATTTATCAATAAATATTCATAGAGACAGTACAAAGAGAATACATTAGTACCGACAGCATGTCAAAGGAGTAACCAGGAAACGCTGCTGTTAATCATGAAATATTCCCATTCCTTTTTAGGAAAGAGGAAAGCAAAGCAGTGTTTTAGGATGAGGGAAAAAGACATAAAGTCCAGACTGCTGTATTTGAGGTAAAAATAATGGCTTTCATTTGATTCTGGTGTCCATGTGTTGTTGCTTAAATTTTCAGTGGAGAGTCTAACGCGTGAATTCATCTGCATGGACAACTGGAACTTGTGTCAGCCTCTTCTTGTCCACTTACCTCAGCTGGACAGAGCAGTCCAAACTAGGATGAACAAACATGGCTGACCACACTCACCCTTCACACAATACTTTGGATTCCCACCAAAAGAGGTCTTGTAGTGATTTTCAGAAAATATGACATGGGCTGACCAGCATCCCCGCCATCTATCTCTCATTCTTAAATTTGGTTTTTTGTTGTTTTGTTTTCTTTTAGACAGGGTTATGCTATGTAGTGGAGGTCGGTCTTGAGCTTACTGTGTAGCCTAGGCTTGCCTTGAATTTCTGATGATCCTCCTGCCTAGCCTCCCAAAGTGCTGGAAATACAGGCATGTGCCACCTTGCCCAGGTTAAATGTGGTTTTTATAAGCTTGTCTATAGCTCCATAATTCAAACAAGAGCAAAAGGGTTGGGTCTTTAAATTTGGAAGGGTTTATGATGTCATCTTTTTTGAGTGCAGGAAGATTTTTTCCAACCCCCAAATGGATCCTTTTGTCTTTTGGAATCACAGAACCAATAAATGAACCAAACTCCAATTGAATGGTGACTTAAATTTCTTTTTCATTTGTTGATGAGATTGATCATTTTCTCCTGTCACACTTGGAACTGAAAATATTTCTATTTTCCCCCTCAGTGCAATAATTTCAATTACGTTACTTTATGGAACCACTGGAAGATAACTAAAGCAAAATACGAATAGAAAAATCTACTGCTGTCTTTCAAACAGCAACAGATTTGGAAAAGATTGTAAAAGATTTAATAATAATAGACTATCCAAAAATAGACAAAAGGGAAACAAGGAAGAAGAAAGATTAAAATATGGTAGATTTAGTGTATTCATTTGGACTCTTGGTTGCACTGACAGAAGATCAAATAAAATTGACCTCAACAACAAGAAGAACGTATTATGTATATAACTGTCCCTCGCTGTCCATGGAAGATTGGTTCTAGGAACTCTCAAACTCCTAGGATGCTCAAATTCTCTTTTCAAAATGGTGCAGTATTTGCATGTAGCATATCTGTATCTTCCCATATACCGTGGGTCATATCTAGATTACTTATTAAAAATCTACTTTTTCACTATACTGGGACTCTTATCTGCTAGGAAAGTACCGTACCACTGCATTACATTCCCAGCCCTCTAGATTATTTATCCAAATGTAACTGAATGCTAACTGAATTTAATGTAAATGCTCAGTAAATAGTTGTTAATATTGTGTTGTTCATGGAAGAACATCAAGAAAAATGTCATTTTGTACAGAAAAATGTACAAAATGACATTTTTCTGATCATTTTTTATTCACAGTTGATTGAATCTGGGACACTAAACCAAGAGATACTGAACCCGCAGGTGTGAGGCACTACACACATACTGGGCAGCTCACAAAGATGCATTCTCAAGATGAGAATCAGAAAGGTGGGTCTGAACACAGTCAGGCTCCCTGCGTATTCTGTCACGTGGTCATGAATCTACTTTTAGGCTAAACAGCAGCCAGCTGTGAAATATGACTGTTCCCAGCAGACCAGATGCACAGGAAGGCAAAGGTAGAACTGGAAGAGGACACTGTTTTCATAAGAAATGAACAGTATTAAACAAAGTGAAACCAGGCACAGTGATGCATCGCTGTAGTCCCAGCTGCTCAGGAGACTGAGGCGGGAGGATTCAAAGTTCGAGTCCTGCCTGGGCACTTCAGCAAGATCCTGTCTTAAAATCAAAATCAAAAAAAAAAAAAAAAAAAAAAAAAGGACTCAGTACTCGCCAGGTTGAGTATCTTCCAGGGTACTGTACTAAGCAAAACATCAAAACCAAAACCAAAGAGAACTATGAAGAAGCAAGACATGCAGGGAAATGGCTCGTCATGTTTCTTGAATATTTAGAAATAACCGAGATAAGTTTCAAGAGTCAAGTACTCTTGAAGGAAAAACTTCTTTATGCAAGAAAAGCATTTGAAACTTGAAAGATGTATCAACAAATAGCAATCTGTTGAACAGTGGCCTATTGTGCAATGCTTAATTAATTACTAATATTCATGGTACACTCATTAGATACAGGATACAGCCCTAGATTCTGGGATACCAGGAGGAAGTTGCTAAAATAAGTGCCTACTTTGAGGAGTGTATACATTAATAATATGTAGGAGGAAAATCAAGCTACAGTAAACATGTCTATTCAAAATAAAGGAATGAACACTTGCTTAAAGGAAAATCACAGACTCATATTACTATTATTTCCTCTGAAAAGATTACTAGCTTTCTTTTTAAGAGATATGTCTTATATGAGGCATTCCAACAATGCTTGATCTGGACGACGTAGTTGGCCAGATGTCTGCAAGCATATGGCGCATACTAATTACTATTAATTCAGTTTCAAGGAGATGAGGTTGGGAGGATACCAGCAGGTGGCGCTTGTTTCTTCTGAGAAAATTGTAATATTTTGTTCTCAACCAAGAATTCTGCAGGAATTAAGGGCGACTAGGCCACAGTGATTGCAAGTGACATATAGCGAGTCATGTTTAAGTGCTGAGTCCATAAATTTACAAGTTCCAGCCTGATGCCTTTGTCATCACACTTCTCCCCAACAAAAGCTCTAATGTTTTCTGACTTGACTGCCAGCTACATTTCCCCAAGCCATCAGCCTATAGGAACCCTAAGGCCTAGCGTAAACAGCAAAAATAATGAGAGAGAGACAGAGAGAGAGAGAGACAGAGAGAGAGAGAGAGAGAGCGAGAGAGAGAGAGAGAGAGAGAGAGAGAGAGAGAGAGAGAGAGAACTGAAGCTTTGGGAAAGGAGTGAGACTTTACCGTCTCCCAGCTGGTCTATCCTTGAGTGACAGATGTTCCCTGTTGCCTCCAAATCTTGGCCTGGGCGCTCACCCTGGGTCATGCATGGCAGAACTTGAATGCTGTGCCCCATGGGGCAAGAAGCAGCACGAGGACACTGACCATACCTAGGCTTAGGCTCAAGCTGGGAATCAGTGGCTTGCTGGGTCACTGGCCTAACCTCTGCTAGCACAGCACAATTTGGGGCTCACTCAGCCATAGCCAGGCCACCGCCTTTACACAACAAAGTATTCTGTCTACCCTAAACACAATACCTCTTAAACGTCCTTCCTTCCTGGGTCTCTGGCTTTCTACTGTTGCTTGCCAAGCATAGCCCCTCTGTATTTGTCAGTTCACGATAGTAGTCTAGTCCTGGAGCCTAGGGGGAAGGGCAATCACTCTAGAGTCTGGGGTTCAAATCCAACAGCACCTCTGACTGCAGAGATGACTTTAGATAAGTTTCTTAATTTCTCTTAGTAGACTGAGGGTAGCAATAGTTCCACTTAGGGGCTCCTGCATTTAAAAAGAGAATTTCTGTGTAATACCTCGACCAGCGCCTGATTCGCAGTAAGGGCCAAAACACTGGGCTGGGAGAGGGGGGTAGGCCTGTGGGGCTAACCCGATAGTGAAAACTGCCCGTCGGAGGGCTCTGGGTCAAATCTTCAGGATAACCCTCCTCCCTGTGACTTCACTGTATTTCAAATTCCATCCGTTGCCTCGCCTACAATCCAAAATTCCTTGTGCCCTAAAATCTTCTGGAAGGCCAAAGGGAACCCGGAGGACTAGGCGTCTAGTTGCAAGTCACCGGAGGTGGCGCGCGCTCTGATTTCGGGGCGCATTGCGGGGTCTGGCGGGACAGCCGGCGCCGCGGCAGGAGGAGGAGAGAGCAGGCGGCGGAGGAGGGGAGAGCGGAGAGGAGGGCGCGGGCGAGGAACACATGCGCGCTGCCGCCGCCGCCGCAGTCCGCAGCGTCCCGGGGACAGGAAACCTTCACGGCCCCGCCGCCGCCGCCGCCGCCTCCGGGTCCGCGCCCGGCTCCGCGCGCCCGCCCGCAGCCTCCTCCGGGCCTCCGGCGTCCTCGGGGCGGCACTGCGGGGATTCAGCCCGAGCCGCAGGCTTCCCGCCGGCCGAAGCTGTGACCCCCCCCGCAGGAGCGGCTGGGCGGGGCGGGGGGGCCGGGAGAAGATGGCGACGCCGGGAAGCGAACCCCAACCTTTCGGCCCCGCGCTCTCCGTGACGGCCCTGCACCCGCATCACCACCCACCCCACCACCACCACCATCACCACCCCGGGGGGACCGCAGCCGGCGGAGGGGCGGGTGGCGGCGGCGGCGGGGGCTTCAACCTGCCCTTGAACCGGGGCCTGGAGCGCGCGCTGGAGGAGGCGGCCAGCTCCGGGGGGCTGAACCTGAGCGCCAGGAAGCTGAAGGAGTTCCCCAGGACCGCGGCCCCCGGGCACGACCTCTCGGACACGGTGCAGGCAGGTGAGCGCCGGCCGGGGCGGGGGCGGCTGTGTGGGGTGCTGCCCGGCCGGCTGTCGCGCCTTCCTCGAGCCGTGGCCGGCCGAAGTCGGGCCGCGCCGGGGGTGCGCGGGCGCGAGGGGGCGGCGGGGCCTGTGCGGCGGGCGGGAAGGGTGGCCGGGAGCGCTGTGCGGGACGGCGGGGACGCGCCTGGCCCCCCGGACTGCACCCGGCGCCCGCGGCCGGGAAGGGCGCGCACTGTGCGCTCCCCAGGCTGCCTTCCTGGGCCCCGCGCAGGGCCGGGGACCCGTCAGAGCCTCCTAGCGTGGGAGCGTCGCCTTCGGGGTGGGGGAAGCCAGACAAAGGTGGCACGCCCCCGTCCGACCCCAGGGCACGGCGCGGTGCAGCGGCCCGCTTGGCGACGTCAGGAGACTCGGTTCTGCCTGCGAGGAGTGCCGAGCCTTCCTCTTCCTGAGCTTGTGCGAGCGAGCACAGAGCCACTGCGATTGTCGTGAATCCCAGCCTGCTGTCGCTTCCTTCCTTCCTTTCTTTTTCCCACCGCCCACGCTGTTTGGTCCCTGCTACCCAGACTACCTGGTCTCAGTAACTAGACCTTTGCGGGGGCCCTGGAGGGGAACATGACTTAGTGTAAGAAAAGTAATTAAAGCGAGCCGGTTTTCCAGCGTGAACCCGGCAAGTTGTAACTCGCGCCAATAAGCAGCCAGCTTTTTCAAGTTATGTCATGTGTTGACATATTTCCGAGACGTCTGCTTTCCGTTTGGTAGCTAGGAGTTGTAGGAGCGGGATCCATAAACAGGAAGGAGAGTGGTGGAATAGGATTGGGGCCTGGGATTGTGCACTTAGTGACTTGGGTTCCTGGACCACCGGGTCCAGCTCCCCGGGCTACGGGTTGTGTCCTGGCAAGCGATCAGCATTTCACAGGGCAGTGGGTGCCCCATTGTGGAACTCCTTCCGAGACCCCTTGGCTGTCATAGCTTCCTGGGCCTGTTGTCATCCTGGATGACTTGACCTCAGCTCAAGACCTCGCAGTTTCCTCTTATAGAGAAGGAAGGAGGCGGAGCAAAGGAGCGGGCGGTGGCTCTGGTAGGTTAGGTTTCCAGTGCCATTTCTCCTGTTTAATTCAGTAAACACTTTTGGGAGCCCCAATGCATGTTTAGATAGAATTCTGAGTTCGCAGGAATCAAACAGTCCTCTCCAGGGTCAGCAAAGTTTTATTTGGATTTAGGAATGGTCAGGAATGGGCAAGAAAGGGAATTTCCAGAGTTGGCTTAACAGCTGGGGAGCCTCTTTTGATAGGAACTCTTAGTGACATCTCAAGTAGAAGCTTTTCCAAGAATTGCCTGAATCATTAACTTAAAAAAAAAACTATGAAATTCTACTTTCCCCTTTGCCATAGAGTGCACTTTGAATTGTGCAGGACTGCAGAAAACAGAGCTGGCAGTTAGTACTGGGGCTCAGAATTAGGCTGATGATTACTTCCAAGTTAGGTGAACTTGGTGTGTTTGCTGTTAGCATTTCTCGAAGAAGACCAGTGCTTTAAAAGCAGAATCACATTATCAGTTATGACTTTGCTGTAAGAAGTGGACACTTAAAAATGTTTATTCCTGTTTTCCTTTCTGCTTGCTTAGTCTGTGAGTTTTGCAGGTTTTTAATAACAAGTCTCATCTGAACATGTGTGGTGCTCTGGCAGTTCTAATTAGTTAAAACTGAGAAGTTTAACGTTAATTCCGCATCCCACAATACAAACTTATTTGTGGCAGAGAGCGCAAAGGGTGTCATCTAAATTTGTGGGAACTTAAAACGCTCCAGTGAAGAGAAAAAGATATTCAACGTAGTGAGTTATTTTACATGACATTTGATGTGCATTTTTATGTACTTTTTATATGGGGCCCAATTTTATATTTTAATTTACATTTATAACTATTAATGTCACTGTGCTCTTGTTAATGTCAATATAAAACAGCCTGTGCATTTATAAAACAAAGATACTACATCTATCCTAAAACTCTTCTTATTCATCCTAAAAAAACTAACTTCTTCATTATCACACCCATCTCTCCCTCCAAGTGCAGTGAAAATTTCTCAGGGAGGGATACAAGCATTCTCTTTTCTGAGTGTTAAAGATTTTCTTTTACAAAATATCTGAGATCAGAAGCTGGGTGTAAACCATAGGAATTTTGTTTGTTCTAAGTAAATATTTGAGCACTGTTTTTTCATTTGTAAGAATGAAACAAATAAATAAAGGATTAAAATGACTGCCAGTGTAGATTGTGTTGACATTCTTTGCATTTTAAGAAAGCCAGTGATGTTCATAGTTTGAGTAGTAATATGTACATCAAAGATGGTGATTTCTCCTGGGCTCATATTTAGTTTGCAGAATATTTCTTAAAATCAGAATGGCATGCGAAGGTCCTTAAAAAGATTTTTTTTTCATAAATTTTGCAAGACAGAGAATGACATAGCAAGGCTTTTCTCTCTGTTAATTTGTATAATACAGGCCATTTGATTAATGACTTGTATAAAGTAACTCTTCTGGCAGTTGCCTATACAGAACTACACTCTTGGGCAGTGTAGTATATCTGAACAGTGATGAAAACCAAGAGGAAACACAGAAACACAGAGGCTGTGAGCTGCTCAGGGGTTGTCTATGCTCTGTTGCTCAAGTACATATACTTGATTCATAGGAAAAAACTCTCAGGCTTTTCCTTTGGGCCAATTAACTTGTGTTTTAGTCAAAAGTTTTGTTGTGAGGTTCTGGTCTTTTAGTAGATGAGAAGAGGAAAGGCACAGATGGCACTGACCCAAAGGGACCAGACGAAAGAGCCATGATCAGCACATGCTGTGTGCCCTTTGCTATGCTGAGTACTTGACATGTAATCGCTCAGTGTGGATCAGGAGCATATTCCTACCCTCATGTACAGATGGGCAGACTGCGATGGAGAGAAGGCAGGCAGTACGCTCAAGATTACACTTCTGTGTAGATGTGAACCACTTCAGTCCTGATGGGACTCAATTTAGCGATCCTGTCTTGACCCTCTATTAGCAGAGAGAAGAAATGGAAGGGTGCATAGTCTGGGAGTCTTTCTGGAGACTCTCTTAGTCCCCATTCATTCTCCCAGTGTGTACTGAGTCCCCTATGTGGATACCAGGGACATAACAGTGATCAAAAAGAGAATCTATATTGCTTCCTGAGACGTTTCCCCTCTAGTTGAAGAGATGGGAAAATAGTCAAGAAATTAATTTTTCAGGATGAATAAAAAGTCTTAGGATAGATGTAATATCTTTGTTTTATAAATGCATGGGCTGCTCTATATGGACATTAATAAGAACATGGTGATACTAATAGTAATAAATATAAAGTGAAGCCTAAAATTGAGCCCCTAAAAGGAAGTACATAAATATAAACATCAAGAAAGCAACCTTTGTCTTTCTAGCACTGATTAATTACATAGTGTCATTTAGATACAGAAGTTCAAAGAGATGTTTATATGATTGAAATGAGAAATAAATGAATCTGATTACATGAGCAATGGCTACAGTGCATCACTGTCAGTATTTTTTTTCTGTCAGTGTACGTATGCTGGGGATAAACCAGGTCCTCTTGTGTGCTAGGCAAATGCTGCCACTGAGAGCTACATTTAAAGTTCTTTTGAAAAAACATTATTTTGAGACAGCAGCTCACTAAGTTGCCCAGGTTGGCCTTGAACTTGCAATCTTCTTGCCTCTACCCAAGTGGCTGAGATTGCTGGTATGTACCAGGATGCCAGTATTTTTTTTTTTTTTTTTTGAGGTGGATATCAGCAGATTGTAGGAAATAAAGAGCTTTTCTAGGCAGGAACAAAAGCATAAGGCATAGAAAGTACTCCTTGAATGTTGGTGTGATTTTTTTTTTTTCTTTTCCGTGCAAGGGATCAAACCTAGGGCTTCATGTAGGCTAGGCAAGTGCTCTGCCATTGAATTCCTCAGCCCTAGTGTGTAGTTTCTGTATTTGAGTGTGAGTTGTATGAATACAAATCATAAGATGTGACTCTATGAGAAACTAAGTTACAATTTCAAGAAATCACAAGTGCCATGAAAAAATATTAATATTCTAAATATTTCTTTAGAACAAACAGAATACTTATGGTTTACAACCACCTCTGACTTTTAAGATATTTGTAAAAGCAGACATTTAGCATATCGCTTCAGAGGAAACGGTAATTTCTGTGAAGATGGTTAGGAAAGACTTCCACAGGGGAGGTAGGATTTGGAGCAGGTGTAGGATGGATAGATAGAAGTGAATATTTTGTGGTTGGAGACTTGGTTCTAAGATGTGGACTGAGAAACCCATCACTGAGGTTCTAAACTTCTCTAAGTAAGAGAGAGGACATGTAAGCTTGTCCTTGGGTCATATCCTCCCACACCTCTCCCACTGTACAGTGGGTGACAGAGCATAGGACTCTTATGGCCCTTTGTTTGAGGTCTCTGGAAATGGCTGAGGCCTGGGATTTGTCAGCCTGGGGGACTAACACCCTAGTCTGACTGATTTAACTCTCTCGAATGTCTGTACAGATTCAAATACTTCTCTGGTATTTGTGGGAGGCCTGTCTGCTTAATGCTAACATCTCTCACCCCACTTCCTTTAGTCACAGAGTCTTTGACTATTAGCCTTTTGACTGTTAATTGTTGGAATTCACACAGATCTTATTGAAGAAATCTATCCATTTTTGGGAACATGCTGTGCTCTATAATTATGGCCATAAAGCTTTTCCACACTAAATATAATGAAACTCGTGAAATCACATGTGTTTTCTTAAACCTATATTCTAAGTATATCCAGTTCTGAATTATTTATCTACTATTGATTTAAATTCATTATTAAGGTAACTGTCATTTCTTATGGCAGGCAGTATTACATAAGTGTCTTTACATTCATTACATGTATTCTGAATGTTCATTCATAAATTATTACATCTGTTCCCGTCTTATTTTTTTTCTGCTGATTAATCTCATACTTTTTAAGGGGAGAGGACTTCTAGTATAAAGACTTTTAGAGCCACTGAGATGCTCCCCGCTCTGTGAATATGTATAGGTATGTCTTTTTCTGTCTCCCTCCTTCTCTGTCTCTGTCTCTGCATTATGGCTCTGAAACATGTTCAGATATACTCATCCATGTGTCTGTGACAAAGCAGTGTCCATGGACACACATGCTATTCTGTTTACCTTTTAGACTTTTATTGCAAAGCCGGGAGCAGACTAATAGAGCTTTAGAATAATAGCACACAGTTGAGGAGGGCAGGCGGCTCTGGGAAGTTTTGGTCTGTACCAGTTCATAAAAGAGCAGCTCAAGGCTTGACCTTCGTCGGTGTAATGATTCTGCTGAAGAATCTGTCAGACAGTGTCGCATTTTCCTTGAGTTTTGGTGGGTGTGTATTAGACCAAAATTTGGCACATTTACCATCTAAGTTTTTCTTTTAATTATTTAACCAGAGTTTACCATTGTATTGCGTGGTAATTCTTTGATAGCAACATTTAGAGCCATTTAAAATCCCATTGGTGTCAGTCTATTCAAAAGGCCTTTGTTGTCCTAGTATGTTTATAGACTTTTCCTATCCCGTAACTCAATTTAATCATTGCTTGTTTAAACATAAGTTGTCCTTCTTTTGTATGTACTTTCGTATCTCTCTTTTTTATGTATGTAAGATCTATTAAAAATATTTAAACAGGACAGCAGTTACTTATTCCTATATCTCCTAATAATCACCTCCTTATATGTATAGTAGTATGCATGCTTTTCTAGAGACTTAGTTAATTAAAAAGCAGAAATTACTAAAGGTGATTTGGGGTTCATCTGTCAGGCCACAACACTCAGGCTTTTGTTTAAGTAGTCACAAAAACCTGTGCTTGGGGCTACTTTCCAGATTGCATTTACCTTTTTGGAAAGTTAAACTTTACTCTTAGAGAGATATCAAGAAAAATTGGTCTGAGTTTAGATATGGTAATTCTACCAATTTGTAAACTCTTTCAGTGGTTATGTCAATTGTTCCAATTAAGGTAAATTGGTGTTAATAATCAGTCGCAAACTCTAAATATATTTACATAGTTGATGGCTTTCTGCGTCACTCATGGGAAACTTAGCTTCTGTTATTGCTACCATCTTTTTGTTATGGGATACTGTTTTTTTACTTCACAATTTTGTCACCATAGTGCTTTTTTGGTGTCTGATGCGAGCCATTTGACAAAACACATTCAAAAATGAAACAAACAAAAACAAAAATTACTGCAGAATTCCAACTAAGACTTAGTTTAAAAATAATTTGTTTTAGAAAAACTAGACTTATCAAAATAGATTTGAAGTATGCCTATGCTATTCTTCATCTTAATTTAAGACTTCAGTGATATTGCTTCCATATACTGTAGTTACAAATAGTACATTTGGAAACCATTTGTTCCCATAAAGTACTTAAAAAATGAAGTGAGATTGTTTACATGAGCAGAATGTTGACAAACTGAGAATTTGGCCTCTTTTGCTTGCTGCAGCAATGCAGGAGAAGGGGAATGCCTTTTTAGTCAGATTTTTGTATATGTTCGTATTTTTTCCCAGCTACATCCTTCTTTGCTGGCCTTAGTGGAGGGTGTAGCAGAAGTTGATTTTTTTCCTTAATAAGAAATTGCTGCTTCTCTGTTAAAATGATTTTGATGCTGAAGCAGCTCAACTTATCCTGCATGAAAGTTTTACACATTTTTAGTACATCAGAGACAGGTTATTTCAAGATCTTTCTCGATGTTGATTTCTTCTCCTTCTGCACTTTCTCTGAGTCCTCCTCCTGGAGGGCACCTAAGCAGAGCATGAGCTGAAACAGGCCAGGAACCCTCCAGCTCAGTGATTCCCAGACTCTCTCTTCACTGTTCTCACCAAGAGGGCAGACAGAGCCTCACATCTTAGTTTTTTGTCTACTAGCTTCTCAGATGGGCTTGTTTTTGACTGACCCATGTAGTATGGTATGTACAATTCTGCTACATAATGTGCTCGCCCAATCTTCTTTTCTGTTTTTAATGTTTATACTGCGCAGCATGAGGTATGGCATCAATATGTCTGACCTGGTCCAGTTAGCTTTGGTCTGATTTAAGTCACTTTATCTCTGCAGGCAACGGGGAGCACCATCCACATGCTCTTCCCCAGATTGCCTTCGTTTTTCTTTTCCAAGCCATTTATCCAGTGTGCCATTTCCTTGCTCCCTCGTGTGCTTACCCCACTAGCATGTCACGCAGCCCAGTATAAGCTTGGATCTGCCCAATACAAGCAGCTTCCTTTTCATGCTGACCTTGCACTGAATCTTTCATAGCCTGACAGCATCTTTGTTATTTCCTTGCATGTTTTAAATTTTAGTATCTTCTTTGGGTAATCTTCATTTATCAGTGATTTTGCCTTTTACTTTCTGGTGATTCTAGTCGCCAGTAGTCAGCCATAGTCCACAAACAGTCACTGGAAAATTTGCAGAAATCAACAATTGATAAATTTTAAATTTTGAGTTGTTCTGGGCAGTGCAATGAAATGCAGCACCATCTGCTCCATCCTACCTGCATCCCACCACCTCCATCCTTGTCCAGAGTATCCACATTCTGTGTGCTACCCACCCTGGCAGTTCCTTTTGGATTCACTAGGGCAGGGCTTGTGTTCAAGTAGCCCTTACATAGTAACCTGCTGCGGCATCACAATACCCATATCCTTTCCCTTACTTCATTTGTCACACAGGCAATTATCCTCTCATACCATCACAAGAAGGGTGAGCACGGCACAGTAAGGCATTTTGAGAGAGAAGGAAAAAGACCACATTTGTATTACTTTTATTATCAGATATGGTTTAAGTTAATCTATTTAATTATTGTTATTGTTATTTTTTTACTGTGCCTAATTTATATGTTAAACTTCATCATAAAACATATGCATAGGCAAGCAACAGTATGGTAGAATTCAGGATCATTACTCTTTTCAGGTGTTCACCAGGGATCTTGGAACAAAATGGGAGATGAATGTATTTCTCCAGGTGTAAGCTTTTTCCTCCTTCTATGGGTGGTGAGATTTGGCTAGCCTGACTTTTTATTTCTGACTTTATATATGCCTTCCATGTGTAGCATAGAAAGTGCCAGATGAGTATCAGTGTTTATCTGTCTTCTCCTTGCCTGGCTGGGTGACTTAAACAATAGTAGTTTATTTTTTGTCAGTTCTGAAGACTTGAAGTCTAAAATCAAAGTGTTGGCAGGTCTGACTTCTGTCTTTGGTTTGAACATGGTCATCTTCTCCCTATGTCTGTGTGTGGTCTTTTTAATGTACATGCATCCCTGATGTCTCTTCCTGAGAATCCAAATGCCCTCTTCTTGTAAGGGCACAGGTTGGACTAGGGTTCATCCACATGACCCAATGTAAACTCCTTTAAAGATCTGTCTCCAGATACAGTCATATTCTGGGGTCCTGAGGGTAGGGACTTCTGTGTCAATTTTGGTGGACACCTGATGCTATAGTACCTGATGAAACTAATAGCTTCTGGCTTTTCCTTGCCTGAATAAACTGATCTTTGACTTGTCTGTCTCTGATCTGAGTACTGCTCTTCCACGAAGCAAGAACTAAGCCTGTCTCGTTCACACTCTGCTGTGGTTTGATGTAGTTTGCATGTATCCCCAAAAGGTTCCTATGCCAGCAGCTTTATCCCCAGTCTGGTGACTTTGAGAGGTGGTGGAGCCTTTAACAGGTTTAGGCCCTCACTGTGGGTATCGCCCCCAAAAGAGACTAATGTAGTTCTTGTGAGATCCACATTAGTTCTTCAGAGATTGAGCTGTTGGACGATGAGGCCACCTCGAGTGCTTGGCCTCTTCCACACACAGCCCATTTCCTTCCCGCTTTCCTGCCATGTTGTGCCAGTGGGGGGCTCTCCAGAGCCGGAAGCAGTGGCACTGCCTGGCTTTGGAATTTTAGGCTTCGGAACTGTGGCCTGACAAACCTGTTTTCTTCATAAAGAAATACTCAAATTTGCCATAGCAACAGAATGTGGGACCAATGCAACATTGCTTCCTTAGTATCTGGCATAGCCCTGTCTTTAGCTCTCACCTAGGCCTGTAGAATCTCCTTAAATGCCTCTGAACACTTGACTTGCTGTAAAAGGGACAGAGAGCCACATTTATACTTAAGAACCGGTGACCCTAGCTTGTCGCTGACCTCATAGATTCACTGTCTTCCTTATCTTCTTTTTGATGGTTGTGGGGTCTCGAGTCATTTTTTCCTCATTGATGGTGGTCATCAATATCTGTAAGCAGGATTTCATCCAGAATCCAAGTGAGTTATAAGTGATTCTACACAAGACAGGCGGGGGTTTTATTATGTCAAATAGCAAATAAACTCACAAATACAGAAAAATTGATCGTTTTCGAGCACCTGTCATGTCTGAGGAGATATGGCTGATTAAAATAGAGGTGTAGTTTTTCCTGCTTTGCAGAATCAGGCGAGGTTTAGGAAAACAATGTATTTGAAAATACTTTACATATTAATTATTCCCATTAACAGATGTCACTTTCTGTTAAGCTTTTCAGCTCTTTGCCAAAGGGATTTTCTTTCCCGTTTTTCCATCTGTGTAGTGTAGTGTTTAAAAGTTGGTTTTTTCCTTCTCACACCTGGACTCAGACGTGGCTTTATCACTTGTAAACATGTCACTTTGGACAGATCACCCCTAAGCATCAGTCTCACTTGGAAATGCAGACAGTAATAGTAGACAATGATTTTATCCACCAGTCGGTAACATTATAAAGTGCTTTTTTGGTACTATTACTTCAGGTGCTTTATATGTAAATGTGTGTATTAAATGTATGTAATACACATGTTACCTCATGTAATGCTTGCTAAATATTCTGACTGCTAACAGAGGCTTCACCTCTCGCTACTTTGCCTTTCTTTTGGGGTCTGAAGAGGGAGTTTAGAAACTCAGAAAACATACATTTATGTTTCTTTCTCATTTAATTGCTGAGGAGATTGAGGCTCATTTGTTTGTCCGGGTCACACAGCGGGGTCGTGGGTGCCAGAGGCAACACCTGCTTTCGTGGACTCCTGTCAAAGGGTCGTTTCTGAGAGTCTGGCTGGAGGTTACAGGGATAGGGGAGGACCCCCTCCCTCTGTGCCCTCCTAGGGTGGACCCACCCGCACTAGCCATGTGGCAGGCCACAAATGTAGAACAAATGCTGTGAAACCTTGCGGAACATCTGGTCCAAAGCTGGGGAGGATACAGGGTAAGACTTACAGTAGTTCCAGATTAAACATGTTAGTCCGGGATTTTACTGCCTGTGGTTAGGGAGACACACACGGGCCCCTTGTAAATTGGATTCCAAGCACTAAACAGTTACACCGGACAGCCCCCCGACTCACCAGCTGGAGGCCCTGGAGATCTTCATGGCGACTTTGAGTGTTAGAACTTGGAAGACGTTTTCCCGTGGAAAGAGTGTAGTAACCGGAGAGCTGATGCTCCCACCAACCTCGGACGGCCTTTTTAACGCTAGCAAATGAGGGCTGGCGGGTTAATGGAGGCTTCCTGTTGCTGCTTTGGGAAAACACAGCCTCAGTTCTGCCGTGACATCCTGAGGGCGGAGAGGTGGGCTTCAGGTTGGGGACGAAGCTCTGCCTCTGGAAGATGATTCTTTCCTCTGCAGCCATTCCTGTCACTGGCACGGTGCCCTGCAGCTGGGTGTTATACCACATGGATGTGGGAGCCAGGGTCAGCAGGAGTCCAGGGGTCCATGGGGGTTGGCTGGGATACATCCAAACCTGATGGAGAGACCAGGGTTTCTATGAAAATTTTTCTTATAAATTATTAGTTTTTAATAAATTATAATTTATTAAATTGGTGGCAAGTTATTGAATCTCTCTGTTGCACAAATTTGCAATTTTCTAGAAGCAAATGTGCTCTTTTCTCCTCTGATGTTCGTGCTGATTCGTGAGGCAGCACACAGTTCCCCTGGCAGGTGAGGCCCACAGTGAGTGACTGACCTTCTGCCCGGGGTTCCTGTGGGGCATGGTTTTTTTTTTTTTCTTTCATTCAAATCAATCAGTGGAAACTGTCACTAGGAAGAGCTTAGACTGTGGTTGAGACTTTATCTTGGCTCCACCAAGGGATGCCTAATGCTTTATTTCCCCATGTCTTGGTTTCCTCATCTTAACATAAGGGATGGTAAACCCTAGGTTTAGAAATGAACATAAATGTCTGGTGCTTAGGTCAGTGTGTGGTACTGATCTTCCATTATTATTTGGAGACTCTGTATCTTTAGAAAAGATATTGAGTCTTATAACGGATGGAAAGATTAACTTCCTAGAAATATTGTGACATTAATGATCTGAGAATCCCAAAAGCCTGGGTGTACAAGCTTTTGGTGTATGGGGGTGTAATTGCTGTTCTTTGACAGTCTGGGGAAGATGGGAGAGTAGGCAGGACTTATGATTCCACGTGACAGAGGAGGCTGGATGTTAGAGTGACTTCTTTGGGTTGTGTTGCTAGTCTGGTTAGGTCGTTAGTTTGGTTAATTCAGATCCACACCTTCCAAGCTTGCATCTTTTTCCATTCATTTTTTAGTTAAGTGTTCATGGTTCTGATCTGATTTTTACTAGGACAAAGAAATCCTGATGGGAAGAAACCTGAGAAAGGAGAATGAGCAACGCAGGGTGGAGGGCCGCGGGACACGTGGCATATTAAGGTGGAGGTCCTGGGGCCAGCTCCTGCTTTGTCCTCGGGATTGTAGGAGTCGGGGCAGGCGTGGGTGAGGAGATAGGTAGGGTTTCTGGGAAGCTCTGGTTGCGGAGAGGTAGGGTTTCAAGGAGCTCTGGAGTACATCTCTTCACCTTCTAAGAGTCCTGCCATTGCTGCCAAAATTGTTCCAGATTGAAAGAAATCATTTTTTTTTTTTTTTTTTTTACTCTTGGCAAAAACTACCTTGTGAATCTTTTTATGTTCTTGGCAACTGCTCTGAGGATGTACATCAAATGTGTCTATAAAAAGTGAGAAAATATTTTGAAGAGGCAGAGATTTAGAAGTGAATATAAAGAATCAAACTTACCGCTTTGTTCTGTGTTTTACTGGTATCTGGCCTTTATTTTGAGCTGTAATCAGAAGATATTTCTTAAGAAAAAACCCTGTGGTAGTTCATTTCACCCTGCTATCAGGGTGCTATAAGGAATCCTGTTTGTCATGCCAGGTCATAATGGGGTCCAGGGTCCCTCAGAATCATGTTGGGCCCAGGGTCCCTCAGAATGATTCCTCATTCAGTCCCTAGATCACCTTGAGAGGCAGCCAGGGTCTCTGTTACTGAGAAGGGAGTTTGTCAGTAGGCAGTCTGACCATATTTGGGGAGCCAGTAAAGATAGTTTATCCTCACAGTGGCGCAGAGATTTTGGAGTCCATCGTGAGTAGGACCCAGATTCCTGACCACATGCACCCTTGCACTAATCGGAAAGTGAATAGATGACCCAGGCATATGGAAATTCTCTCCTGTCTGTAATGGCCAGCTAATGGCTCCACTTATAAAAAGTTTTTTTAAGGCAAGTAATTATTACTGGTTTTAATATTTCTTTACGATGTCTATTAAAATTGTAGATATGCATTAGGGTTTTTATTTTAAGCATTACATTTCTATATTTGGGTTTATATAGCTCAGTTGAACATTCCATTGATATTTTACTAGATTTTATTCTCTCCAGTGAGAAATGAACAGGTAGCTATCAGGTGAGAGGCCATCACGTTTACTTTCAAGAATATCCTTTTTGTAATATAAGTGCTTACTTTAAAAAAAAAACTTTTAATACATTTGGTCTGTGTCTGTAAGAATGATTGATTTGAATTTTAAAACATTTGCATTACGTAGCAGTCATACAGTAGTCCTCGGGGGGAGCTGGTCCTGTGCTTACACAGCTCAGTTCTTTTTATCCCTTTCCTCTCCTTTCTGTCCTCCCATCTTTTGATCCCCTTCCCCTTTGAAGATCTATCTCCTCCTTTCCTATTATTTATCTTTTATTTTGCTCTTTACTTATGTTTTGAGTTTCTCATGTGATATTTAAGCTTGTGTGTCTAGCCTATTTCTCTTAACGCTATGGTCCCAAGGTCATCCATTTTCCTAGCATAACTCACGTTTATCCTTCCTTATGGCAGAGTAGTGCTCCACTGTGTTTTCTTCATCCGTTCATCTGTTCATGTGCTAATAAAAAATAAAGTTGTTTTATTGAATACATTAATTTCTTTAAAAATCTTACATATTAAGTAATGGAAATACAACATTATGGATAAAAACTAATATTTTTTGCTACTATATAATTTGACTCTAATTGAAAGGAATCTGATGAGTAGTTGAAGGCAAATAGACATCTCTTTGTGCATTGCCCTCAGTAGTGTGGATGATAATTTCTGCATGTAATTTAAGGCAGTTATGTATTTGGGTTTGTTTGGTATTTTTTTTTTTGTTTCATTTCATTTTTAGACATTCTGCATGAATCCAAATTTTTAGTTGTAATCAGTCTTTCCAGGCTTGTAATAAATTCTGAGCTGTGCTTTGTTCATATTTTTGCAATTAATACTTTCTTGTATCTGTGAAGCATTTTAAAGGGTGCTGAGCCTAAATGAATCTATGAAGGTATGAATGTGCCTAAATCTAATCAATTTTTAGAACCCAGCTGGCAGCCCTGATGACTTGCTTTGGCATGCCCCACCCCCCACTCCTATCTAGGCTTCATCTTTGGAATTAGTATGCTAATGAGGACTTACTGTGAAGCAGGGTGAGGTATTGTGACCTAATAGCACCCTGCACTTCTCTGCCCCTAAGGAGGACAAATGACACACAGAGAAGCCCAGCAAAGAGCTGTCATTGTTAGGCTGCAGTGATCTCACCTGGAGTGTTTCCTGGTCTTGGTGTGTGTTGTGGTGTCTCTGTGTGGCAGACCCCTTCTGTCCTTGGGCAGCCTATTAGTAATCTCTTAACATGACAGGGTGGATTGGACTGAATGAACCGTCACATCTTTGGATAAAATATTTCAGCTTTGGCTGTATTACTTGCTGTAAGTCTGTGCAATAGTCTTGCATTCTGAGAAAACATGAGGTCACTATGGCCATCGGGAGAGGTAGTCCTAGAGCATCTTCATAAGTAGTGTTGACCCTGAATTCAGGTGGGTCATAGACTCTCTGCATACATCTGGACCTGGACAATTCATATTGTCACTCCTTTTAACATATCATGATTTGCATGTGTTATAAAGTCTTCAGCATTGCTCATTACTTTTAACTAGCAAAGTATTGCGTTAATTTTTAACTACGAGATCCTGCATACATAGAAAGGTGTCTGTATGCTACGTGGGCATCATTGATAATAAGACTAAAATTGATGTAGTGACAGAAAACAGAAAGTGGAACTGGAGGTGGGGAGAGCACAGGTTGATGCTGGTGTTTTTGTTTCCACTGTGATGATGGGTATACAGGTATACACATTTGCTGGAACTGCATACCTAGGATGAGTACATTGTATTGTGTGTAGATCATACCTTAATAAAATACACCAAAAACATACCTGTATACCCAGTCTCCAGTTTAACAAGCAGAACATTTCTAGTTTCCTCTTGGCACTATGTCTGCTACCGATTCCCAGCTGACAAGCTGTTTTAAAACACAGAGTGACAAGCTTTATGACTGAACTGTTGCCTACTTTTAGAAGACTGATATTTTTACTTTATTGGAAAGGCTCTTTGATCATCATTTTCTTTGTCTTGAAATAGCTTATAAACTCTCTTGATGTCTTACTCATAAGATATTCTAATTCTTTCTATAACAAATGGCATTTTATTTTCTAATAGAAAAAAATTGATGCTGAGCCATGTTTCCTACGACTGCTGGACGCTGGTTGCTAAGAGTCTGAGGCTGAAGAGCATTTGTTGTGCACCTTCTGAATGGTGGACACTGAAGACACGATCTCATTCCTTTCCTCAGCCTGTAAGACAGGAAACATTTACGTGAAATTTCCTCATGAGCAGAGCTATGCTCATAGGTGCTCAGCAGCCTCCTTAGGCTCCCCACACCGGAGTGAGGGAGTTGGTCAGGGTTTGAACCTCAGATGGGACTCTGCAACATGAACCTTCCCTGCTAAGCATGCTGTCATTGCATACTATCTTTTGCTGAGGAAAGTGGAACACATTGGCTGGCTTCCCTGGCTGCATTCTGGAGCAGGGATCATGTGACCTATCACTTGCAAACTCCCTAAGTCACCACAGTGACCCTGCATGCTCATTGTGCAGACCCCGCCCTAGCTTGCTCCTGCTCACCCACTGAGACTCAGCTGCCTGACAGCAGGTCTTTAAGCCTCTGGACTTTGATACCATCATGCTTACCCTACTGGGCTTCCTCTTGCCCTCCTGTAGGACTTCTGTAGCTCCAGCTGTCTCTTTCTTTTATGAACCTCCATATGTTCTAGGTTAAGTGCTTCTACTTCCTTTTGATCAAACCTTTCCTTCTACACTTGCCAAATAAAATAGAACAGAAAACGAAACAATAACAGAACATTCCAAGTTCTCCAGCTCCTGACACTCATTTCACATCTTAGCTCCTGCTTCTGTGTCCCCTAAACACTAGCCTGCCTCCCCTTTTCTGCCCTCCATCTGTGATCTATAGCAAGCAGTTTATAGTGATTTTTATTGATTATATAGTTTCTTATCTTTTCCCTCTAATAACAATAATGGCTTTCCTCATTTAGCCAGATTTTACTCTCCACTTTATGTGGCTTCTCTTACTAATCCCCAAAACAACCTTAAGAGGCAAGTACACATTTTGTCCCCCTTTTCAAGACTGGAAAATTGAAGCTAAGAAGTGCTTGATGTCTCCTGGCTGCTGAGTGAAAAGAAGGCTTCATGTCCAGCTCGAGGGCTCTTTGCTGCCTCTTGTACTCTGTGACAGAAACAGAAGAGAAAGCAGACTGAGCTTCGCACCTTTTCCACCCATGCGGTAGAAGTGTTTGACATACTGTGTCCCATGATCTTTGCTCCAATGCTAAGAGTTAGATCTTAGTATTAGAGGTCTTTAAATTAACTTGAGGTCATGGAACTGATAGGTGGAGAGATCCAAATTAAACCTAAGCTTCTGCTCCAAAGCATGCCTCACTGTATGCAGGAGAATTGTCTTCTTCCTTTCTCTAGCTGCTTCAGGACCTAAAAGGTGGACGCTTTCTAGTTAGTTATAGGTTGGTTACAACAAAAAAGCAAACAAACACAAGAGCTCCTTTTATTCGAAGCATGAGCCTAGAAGGCATATTCAGGTAGGAAGGAGTACAGTCCATAAAAAGTGTTGGAGTTTTAGAATAGTATCAAAACAAAGCTGAGGGGGGACATGTAATTGAACATGCATGGCAGCCGCAGAAGAGAAATTTATTCTGTAGTACTTTTACTATACTGGAGGAGTGTCTGAAATTCAAAGGAGAGAGAAGATGACTGGAACCCTGCTCAGATTTTTAATAGCTGCACTGTGCACCTTCTCCAGTCGGCCAATTCTGCTGCTCTTCTGTTTTTCTCAGGCACAGAAATCAAAGATGATGGGATTTCCCCTGGGCCCTCCCATTAGTGAATTGGAGATACTGCATTTTGCCATAGAGCTTATCTTTGGAGTGATTTATGGTTTTAAAAACCCACATCTACAAAAAGGAACTCCTTTATATGCTAAAATTATATTTGAGTATGTTACAATTTTAGTGACCAAAACATATGTACTCTAGTGGTCCATGCATCTTGTTAGTGATGCTACTCAGCTGTTCACACAGATAACTCAGCACAGTGGTTTCTGGTTCTTGGGCTTGGAATATTTCCACCCTTTTCTTTTTTATCAGGAGTGTGTTTCTATTGAGGCTGCAGTGTGCCAAGAGAACAGTTGTTGGTGGTGTTCGCAGCAGTGCACGCTGGTATAAGTGCCAGCGAGATTCAAGTGATGATGGGCACCAGCTCTCCCTGTCACACATTGCCTTTTGTGCTCTGAGTAACTGGAGAAGAGCTAGCCTCATGCAGGGAGTTTTCTCTGTGTGGGGCAGGCTTGTCATTTCCAGTGACTGTGGAGTTTCCTATAGGTGTGTGTTATGCAAAACTCTCAGGATGATGAAGTTCCAAAAACTTTAAGTTGCTCTGTCTCTGTTTGCCTTTCTTTTGTGTGTGTGTGTGTGTGTGTGTGTGTGTGTGTGTACTGGGGATTGAAGTTTGTAACCTGGCCCTTGCTGGGCAGGCGCTTACACCACTCAGCTAAGTCCCCAGCTCCCTTGCCTTTCTTGCTATGATTGTCCATCAGGTTTCAGATCATGGCAGCATTTAAGCAATATGCTTGAAGTTGAATAGGTCAAGGTCTAATTCTGGCTCTGTTGCTTGCTAGTTGAGTAATGTGGGGAATTCATGTACTTCTTTGAGCCTCTGATTTCTCATCTGTAAAGTGAAAGAAATAAAACTTTTATGGGGGTTGCTGTGACAATGAAAGCAGCAGATTTTAAGTCCATTGCCCTAGTGCAGGCGTGTGACCTTGCTAGGAGCTGTTTTGTGAACTGTGATGCCCGTGCAGGGGGCACTATTTTTGGACAGGAGGGGTTTCTTTACTGTTCCCAACCCTGTCCATTTTGGGGACCTGCATCTGTCTCTGTCACTACTCTGGGAACATGTCTCTTGGTTTATACAGCTGTCTACTGTTCCCTGGACCTGCCAGCGTGGGGTGTGGCCACTCCCTGTACTCTTCTTTCTTGTGTCACTGTGCAGGCTGTCCCTGGGACTCCTTATCCTGGCTAAACACCCAGCCTGGAGCTTGCTGCTCTTTGAGGGAGGACCTCGGCTTCTAGGGAGCTCTTTGAAGGGAGGTGTTAGGCTGTCTGAGAGACAGGTGCAAGGCCTTGGAAGCTGCGGTCCCCCGATCAGACAAATGTGCAGGTCTTGGACTTACTGGAACATTTCTTTAAGTCCTGTGACTGTAATTTGGACCATAGCCTGTCATATGGCATGGTGTCTTAGCTCTTCGTGAAACATAAAATGGAGAGAGGGGGAGAGAGAGAGAGAGAGAGAGACAGAGAGACAGAGAGACAGAGACAGAGACAGAGAGAGACTGATTGGAGAGCAGGATAATTCAAAAAGAAATTCTCTTTGTGCAATTTGAGTACCTCAATGTGGTTATTCTTAACTGAGAGAGCTGCAGATTCAAGAAATATTAGTAAGTGTTATTTGTTGTATTGACTAAAGAAAAGAGCTCAACAAAAGTTTCCCAACTTGAGGGGTTGTGCAGAAGATAGAGTGACAAGGCCAGGAGACATTCCTCAGGTTTCAGGTTTCTTTTAGGTTCTATATTCACAACCAGGCTTCGTAAATGAAGGAGTGCTGTGGTATTTTATTTATCTAACAAATCTAGTATATGGAAACTGCTCACAAATTTTTCTCTTCCTACTGTGTATCATGGGCTGTGTTAAGGGTAGCAAATGTTCAGTGGCTTGGAGCCACCTCGCCTGGCTTAACGTTCCCATTCATCCATCTACTGGCCGCAGGGCCTTGAGCAAGTCACATACGCTTTTTGTGCTCTAGTTTCCTTATTTGTAAATACAAATGGTAATGACACCTGTCTCAAAGGGCTTTGGGATTGAAACATGCAAGGACTATTGAGCAGTGCTTGGCATATGTGAATCACTCAATAAATGTTAATAACCATTATAATAAATGCAAATAAACTATTACTTGTTTCTAATTTATTTGCTTCTTTATGTTATTCTTCCCTTCCATCATTACGTACTATAACTCTTATAATCACTGTGTCTCTGCTGTGTCTAATTATGAGTGTCTGGTCCATGGGAGGAGCTGTAGTTAATATTTGAGCTCAGTAAATGCATACGGGTAGATGAATGAAGGAAACGAATGCCAGCTCCCTGTTGGTGCTTTGTAGGCAGCGGAGGGCACACCGTGGTGCCTGCCTTTTGAAGTGGTCAGTCACAGGGAGGTGAAACCTGGAGCTGTAACACAGCAGAAGGCGCTAAGTCATGTGCAAGCAGAGAACAGACGGCGCTGCTGGGCGGCA